ATGCCAGAAAGAGCTGTGTAGATCTGTTGAAGGAGTTGGAACATTTCAGTATTGTCTAAAAGAGAATGGGGAAGAAAGTATTTAGATTGTGAGAGTGTGTGACAGGAATTGAGTCACATGTGGAGTTTTCAGGAGTCCTGTAAGGACGACCCTCGGCGCGGGCCCAGTGGCCCCGGGGCTGCCGCCTGCCGCGGCGCTGCTGGAGCCGGCCCGGCTGCGAGAGGCGGCGGCTGCGCTGCGACCCGTGCCGCCTTGCGAGTCCCTGGTGTCTAGGCACCACGGCGCGCTGTTGCGCTGGCTGGAGGAGCGACTGGGCCGCGGCGAAGAGTTCGTCACCCTGGAGCAGTTCCGGGAGCTGCTGGAGGCTCGTGGCGCTGGCTGCTCCGGCGAGCAGTTCGAGGAGGTCAGGGTCGCCGGGCGTCAGCGGGGCTGGGTTAGGGCGGTCGCCCCCAAGGGCGTGAGGAGGTGGGCGGCGGTTTGGGGGAGGCGGGGCGGGAACTGATGGGGTCCGCAGGTTTGGAGAGTGGGAGCGTGTGAGCTCCGGGTCCCACGCGGGGCGTTTCCAGCCAGTTCACTCCTGGAGATGGCTACGAATCTTTATAACCTTTATTAGCGGGTGGGAAGACTAGACTAGGCCGCCCTTGCTCTGAAGAACTGGCATGTCGTGCCATAGGACTTTTGTGCAGTTGCCTGACGCTGGATCGAAAAGGGAAAGGAGGTGTAGGGATCGAGGGAGTGGTAGTGAAAACCTTTCTGTTTTATTGGCCAGTGGGTTTTTGCAAAGCAGCTTTTGAATCTAGTGTAGGTGCCTGAGTGTGGCATGAGGACAGATGTGGGAAGAGAATAACATTCTGGGAAAATTAGCGTTGTAAATGTCATTTTCATCAGGCAAAAACTAGGCTTTCAAGAAAAAATTTTTTTTAAATCTTTGAAAACCATATTTTATATTCATTTAAATCCCTGTAAAATCTAAAACTGATAGGCAAATGCCAGGCTGCCTTGAGAATATTTGTAATTGTACATAGTTCGGGGCAAATTTAATTACCAATATCATTTTTACTGAATCATTAACAAATTGTGTAGCAACAAGATAATTTCGTTGGAAGGGCTTCAGTAGTTACCTATACTAAGCACTTTATTGTAGAGATAAGCCAAGGGCTGATCCAGGGTCAGCCTTGGAATCATTGGCAAAATTAAAACTATCACTGAGATATGGTTTTTTTTTTT